ACTTTGAATTTTCCAGTCTTTAATATGAAATCTCTAAGAATAGAAGGTGGCTATCCCATATCTAGCTTGATATATCCGCTGTAACTGTGTTGTGGCTGTTTCTTCCAGAATATGGTGCTGTTCCATGACTGATGTTGGTTGGCCTTGGCCATGAGTTTTGTTAGATCCTGGAGTGTGTCAAGTGGGTGGTCTAGCTTGGGCTGGTTTTAAGCTTAAAAAAAAAATGTATTCTGGACTTCAATCCAGTATTACATCCAATGAAAAAGGAATTCCAAAGGGTTCTGACTGAAACCAATTGGTCTGGGTAATTTCTTAGGTAAGGGTTCCCAGAGTTGAACTGGAATGGGGTTAAGTCAACAATCTTTCATATGCATGCATTAAGAGCGCAGCATACCTGACCATCTAACATAGACCTTTCCTCGGGGTCTTGAGTAGGAGCTGGTTAGAAATTTATGTTCACACCTATTTTGTTATAGCTTTTAAACCTATTTCTCACTGGCCTGAAGGCAACCACCAACTGAACAAAATTCGTAGGAACATGAAAAAAAACGGTTCAGCACATAATTGCGTGTGGATTGTGGCTGCCGCTAGTCCTCCCCAAAATTTGGTCTATTAACCCACCATTGAAAAACTGTCAAACAAAAATGTGAAACTGAGGGAATGATCAGTGAGAGTTTTATGGACATTACGTTTCACTGCGCTGCGCAATTTCCCTTTTTTCCTTCTTTATGAGTGAATTCAGAAAGTACTTTTTGTAAATCATGGAGAATGATGAGTTTTTAATTAAAACCTGGAATGTGAGCCGGTGCCGGTGGCTCAAGCCTGTAATTCCCAGCACTTTGGGGAGGCCGAAACAGGGCGGATCACGAGGTCAGTGACGATCGACTCGATCCCCCTGGCTAACACGGTGAAACCCGTCTCTTACTAAAAAAATCCACAGAACAAACTACGGCTGGCGCGAGGTGGCGGGCGCCTATAGTCCCCTCAGCTACTCGCGAAGCTGAGGCAGAGGAGAAACTGGCGTGAACCCCGGTCAGGGCGGAGCCTTGCAGTGAGCTGAGATCCGGCCACTGCACTCAGCCTAGCGACAGAGGCAAGACTCCGTCTCAAAAAAAAAAAAAAAAACAAAAAAAAACCTGAATGTGAGAAAGAGGTACTTCGACTAGTAAAGGGCATATTGTTTAAACATTCCCGAGATGAACTTCTTTCACTGTCACATTTGAAGAGAACTGGACCTTTGAATGCCACCCTTCAAAAATAGATGAACGTGGCCAGGTGTGGTGGCTCACACCTGTAATCCCCATGCTTTGGGAGACCAAGGCAGGCAGATTGCTTGAGGCTAGGGGTTCAAGACCAGCCTGGCCTATATGTCAAAACCCCATCTCTACTAAAAATACAAAAGTTAGCCAGGCATGGTGGCACACGCCTGCCATCCCAGCTGCTCGGGAAATCGCTTGAACCCGGGAGGCGGAGGTTGCAGTGAGCCAAGATTGCACCACTGCACTCCAGCCTGGGGGACAGAGAAGACACTGTCTCAAAAAAAAAAAACAAACAAACAAAAACAAAAAAACAAACAAAAAACCATAATATAGGTAAATTAGAAAGTGTTTCATTTTAAAATGTTCTTGTATTATAGTAAATAAGATTTAAGTTGTACGTATATATACCAGCACACCTGTTTTGCACCAAGTGAGACTTGACCCTTGGAAATTTTCGTAATAAAGGGAGCCTTTACCCCTGGTTAAGCTCATTACTTTCCTATGCACTCCAGTTGAAGGAAGTATGCATAACACGTACATGTTACAGTCCTACCGATGCCCACGTCCCCCCTAGCACACACAGGTTTCCCCTCCCAGAATTCACTATTTGTCCAACAGAACAATTTTCAAAAGTATGCTCTAAAGTGAAATCTTGAAGCCTCAAATTCTCTGAGATGCCTTGGAGGTCCCACAATGTTCATGAATATTGTCCCAAGGAGTTCCACAAACAGAGTAACCAGTTTAATTTAACTGAGCATCTGCCAAACTGATTTGGTTGTGGAAACTTTCCTTTCCACCATTCCCCACAAGCATAATTTTAAAAATGCTTTATTAGTTGGGCACAGTGGCTTAACACCTGTACTCCCAGCACTTTGCGAGGCTGAATTGGGACAATTGCTTGATCCCAGGACTTTGAGAGCAGGCTAGGCAACACAGTGAGACCCCATCTCCAGTGTAGTCAGAAAATAAAATGCTTTATTGGAGCGTCATTTGAGGTGCTTAATGGGTAACTACCTCAAGGGACCTCTAGAGGTTTTGCCAACAAAGGAAATTCCTCAGTCCACACCAGTGGGTCACTCTGGTGGCCTCACTCATTTGGTGGTGGTGGCAAGAAGATCCACAATGGCAACTTGAAATTATTATATAAGGTTACGTTTGTATTTTGCTACCCATGATGTGGAGGAATAAATACTTCAGCAATGGGGAGTGTAGAACTATTTTGTGCTTATCATGCCTTGTTCCTTTGGTTTGGTGTCAGGAAAAATCACTTGTCAATGACACATTTTTGTCATATGATCTCGGAAGACTAGGTTCACCATAAACATGGTCTGGTGACGGCTATTGAAAGTGAGTGTTCCTTTTACAGACATCACCATGGAACCGCGAAGAAGTTCTGGCTATGCTCAGTGGGCTGCAAAATACAGAGCAATAAAATTGATTCAAGTCACCTGTTAGGCAAATTAAAGCAATTTGTATTTTTTGTATGTAAAGCAATTTATATTTTACAGTGTATGCACACATATACTGAGTTAATACACAACTCTTATTTCCCTAGTATGAATTGCATACAGAAGAAAAATAGCAAAGGAAGGCTATGCAGTAAAGATGGAGAGAGAAAACCACCTAATCCCCTTTTCCCTAATTATTACATGTTTCAGGGATCATTTAGAGTGGTATTGTCCAATCCTTTAGCCACCAGTCCCCATGTGATTAAGAACATCCTAAGCATTCTAACATTAGACGCAACCATGAAGGCCTCCTAGCAAATGTGTCTTGAGATTCCAGTGCATTTTTACACCATTCCTAAATTCTGTATAACAAGTTTCTGGTTAACACCATGGCTAAACACAATTATTTCTGAATTCATGTCACTCTGCCACCCGTATGTTTTAAAACAAAGAGGTATCGTCATTTCACTGATGTTTAAACTCAGGAATGAGAAGTGTTAGTAACTTTGGGAACATGTAAAGCTGGAAAGTAGGAATTCTTTAAATAAAAACCCCTAGAGTCTTTCCTTCCTGAGAACTTGTTTTCAGTGCGAGGTGACTGAGGATTTGCATTTGGCTTGCCGTCCCCAGTCACCATAGTGGAGACCTCAGTCCACCAAGAAATCAGGCGAATGCTGTGTTTCCAATGGGAGAGACAAGATGCTGAGTGTTTTACATGTATTACCTAATCTCTCCTCACCACAGCCCTTGCAACAAGGCATCTTACCTCTATTTTTTGTTGTTCCAGAAGAGAAACTTTTTTGGAGACAGAGCCTCCCTCTATCACCCAGGCTGGAGTGCAGTAGCATGATCTCAGCTCATTGCAACCTCTGCCTCCGGGGTTCAAAGCAATTCTCCTGCCACAGCCTCCCAAGATAGCTAAGACTACATGCATGCACCATGACGCCTGGCTAATTTTTGGATTCTTAGTAGAGAGAGGGTTTCACCATGTTGGCCAGGCTGGTCTCGAACTCCTGACCTCAAAGTGATCCACCTGCCTTGCCCTCCCAAAGTGCTAGGATTACAAGTATCAGCCACCACGTGTGGCTAACAGGAAGCTTTTTTTTTCCAGAAAAGAGAAAATAATTTGTCCAGAAATGTTCACTGACACTGGGCCTTGAGCCCACATGATTTGACTACTGAGTTTAATGCTTAAGCCCTGAGCCCACAAACCCAAGTCATTGCTCCAGTTGAGCAACATTTGAAAACTACAGTGAAAGACAGGAAAGGAAGAGGGAGAGAAGTGAGCATAATGGGGTGGGCAGGCCACTGAGAATAATATTTGTACTAGAAATATTCAAATAAGCTATGAACTGCAGAGAAAGAGAAGAAGAATGTTGTCAGGCATAGCTCCACAAACTTTGACTTTTAACATAAGTAAATTTAAACTGGAAAGGAAAGACAGGCTATATAGAGGCTATATAGGAAAAAGTATACACACGCCTTTAGAGGGTACGTCCCTCAGTCTCTTCAAATGTTCAGCCATCTCAGTGTCTGCCCTGGAACTGGAGAATTATATTTCAAACTGTGACCGCTCACACGGAAGATTAGTCTTGCCCATGAATAACTCTTACCTCCAAAAATTTCATCCTAGTCTGTACAAGAGACCTTCCTTGCCAGTGCTAGATTTGTATGAAATCATAGCATTTTGAAGCTATGTATATTAACACTAGTTTACACACATACACACACTCCCATCTACTCACAGTTCTCTAGTCTGAAATTATTAAAAGTAGCTATCGTAGCTTCAATGTAATTCATGAATTCCTGAACTGCAATTTTGCTGTTAGTTGAAATTAACAACTAAAGGTTTATGCAGTTACGGTTGCTACTGTGCTGTTTTCTTAACTACAATAATTAGGACATTCATGTTAAATCCTTAGATATTCCAGAAAATTCCAATCATGACTTAAAGAGAAATTTGAAATAGTTAATTTGGACTGTTAGAATATGCTTTAAGAGGCAAGAAGCCATGAAATTATCTTTTTCTTCTTTAGAAATAAACACAAGTTATAACACAAAGTGGTTTGATCCCCATCTCCACCTTGATACTCTCCATTGCAGAGATTTGCAACTAAAAATGTTTATCCAGGCCCAGTGCCTCTTTCAGCTTGGTGGGTCAGTCCTAAGTCTTGGTGACGTAAGAGAGAAGCAAACTTGTAAATGAATTGCTCTGGAATTTGTCTGACTTATGCATTCTCTTTTATTTATTTCATTTTTGCATTGAAAACATTACATTTCTGTTTCCTTATAGAGTAGTGTATCAAGAGCCTGTGTATGGCAATAAATTGCTGCAGGTATGAAATCCCGACTGGTGGAGAAACTCATCACTATGATTGTGGGTTTGCTGTGAAATCCTTACTAACAAGATAATTCTGGGGAGGGGAATTGTTCTCTAACATAGGAGGAAAAAGACTTAACTGAATTTTCCAGTTTTAATATGAAATCTCCTAGAATAGAGGTGGCTATCCCCATATCTATTGATATATCCGCTGACTGTGTTGTGGCTGTTTCTTCCAAATATGGGTGCTGTTTCCATGACTGATGTTAGTTGGCCTTGGCCATGAGTTTTGTTAGATCCTGAGTGTGTCAAGTGGTGGTCTAGCTTGGCTGGTTTTAAGCTTCAAAAAAAAATGTATCTGGACTCAATCAGTATACATCCAATGAAAAAGAATTCAAGGTTCTGACTGAACCAATTGTCTGGGTAATTTTTTAGTAGGTTCCCAGAGTGAACTGGAATGGGGTTAAGTCAACAATCTCATATGCAGCATTAAGAGCCAGCATACCTGACATCTAACATAACCTTTCCTGGTCTTAGTAGAGCTGATTAGAAATTTATTTCACACCTATTGTTATAGCTTTTAAACCTATTTCTCACTGCTGAAGCAACCACCAACTGAACAAATTCGTAGGAAGAAAAAAAGTCAACATATTCGTTGGAATGTGGCTGCCCTAGTCTCTCCAAATTTGGTCTATTACCCATATTGAAACTGTCAAGACAAATGTGAAACTGAGGATGATCAGTGAGAGTTTTAGGACATTACTTTCCCTGTCGCTGCAATTCCCTACAGTCGCCAGCGGGCACACACAGTGCCATCCATCACACAGTAGTCACACAAAATCAAAAATGCCTTTATTGGGAGCGGGTCATTTGAGGTGCTTAATGGTAACTACCTCAAGGGACCTCTAGAGGTTTGCCAACAAAGGAAATTCCTCAGTCCACACCAGTGGTCACTCTGGTGGCTCTCACTCATTTGGTGGTGGTGGCAAGAAGATCCACAATGGCAACCTGAAATTATTATATAAGGTTACGTTTGTATTTTGCTACCCATGGATGTGGAGGAATAAAATACTTCAGCAATGGGGGAGTGTAGAACTATTTTGTGCTTATCATGCCTTGCTTCCCTTTGGTTTTGGTGTCAGGAAAAAATCACTTGTCAATGACCACATTTTTGTCATCAGATCTCGGAAGACTAGGTTCACCATAAAACATGGTCTGGTGAACGGCTTATTGAAAGTGAGCTGTCCCTTTTACAGACATCACCATGGAACCCGCGAAGAAGTTCTGGCTCTATGCTCAGTGGGCTGCAAATACAGAGCAATAAAATTGATTCAGTCACCCTGTTAAGGCAAATTAAAGCAATTTTGTATTTTTTGTAATGTAAACAATTTATATTTTACAGTGTATGCACACATATACTGAGTTAATACACACACTCTTATTTCCCTAAGTATGAATTGCATACAGAAGAAAATAGCAAAGGAAGGCCTATGCAGTAAAGATGGAGAGAGAAAACCACCTAATCCCTTTTCCCTAATTATTACATGTTTCAGGGATCATTTAGAGTGGTATTGTCCAATCCTTTAGCCACCAGTCCCCATGTGGCTATTTACATTTAAAATTCAAATTAACTGAAAAGTAACCTTA